CCCACGTCACTGGGTCAGCGGAATCCTCGGTAAGTGAGCAAATGTGAGAGAGAAACAAGGGGATAGAGCCACACGGAGGGGGGTGAGAGCGGTAAGCGTGGGGGAGAGTGAGCAGTTTGTATCTGGCTGGTTTAGCTGGGTGGAGGTGAAATTAGGACATTCTTTACAGCTGAGTAGGGCAGCTAGCAACAGAAGTAGGCTAAATAATCCTCCCTCATCATCAACGCTCTCTGTTTATTGTGGGGAAGGAGGGGAACAGTAACTTCCATGTGACTAAAACATGACCGCGACTGCTTACACACGCTAACAGGTTGTTGTCCCTCTATCCTTAAAACACATAGAAATAGACCGTGTGGCCCTCCTCATGGTTTTCCCTCTAGCGTACCAAATACCTAATTTAATTTTTTTTTTTTTTTTTTTCTTTGATTTTGCATCAGCTACACTGTTCCCTATGCCTCTATGTCTTCTCTTTCAGTCGCCTAAAACGTTCTCTCTCTCTCTCCTCAGTGCCACAGCCCTGGGGTCAGTTTGAAAAGGCCAGCACGCAGGGACCACTATGGTCCCTCTTGCCTCGGCAGAGACCGGTGTTATTCAGGCTCTGTTCATAGATGAAAGGGGGATTCCAGTGGTGGTCACATGCTCCCTGCATGGCTATAGAGGAGGCCGTCCATTTCATGGATGACAAGCCATACATGGTTTCCTTTGTGTGGATGCATGGACATGCATACAACGGCATTGTTCCACTCGGAAAACCTGTGCACGTTTTGTGCCTTTTCTTGTGTGGTTTCCCATGTGCGGGTATTTGTGTGTGTGTGTGAGAGAGAAATAAACAAGTGATAAACAAATCTAGCTACAGTTCACTCAGGAGGACTACGCTTTTCTTTTTCCTGCCATTAACTCCTCACACATGCACACTCTTATGAGTGTTCATGTTCCCTGCTGTCATTGTTAGCCTGTCAATCATGATATCAGCTGATTAGATCAGTTTCATTCCTTAATTCAAAAGCACAGTGAAGCAATTACATTGTGAGCCTGTCTCCTGCGGCTGTCTCTTTTAAATATGATTGTCTCTCCACCTTCGATGTGTTCATGCTGCTTTAACACGCCGCTCCACCCAGCTTCTCCTCTCTGCCCAGTCTTATTCATCAGCTTCATCAACTCACCAAGAAAACTTTATCATCACATGTGATCTGTTAATAATACACAATTATATTTTCTTCATCTAACTTGTTAAATTTGTTTTGTTGTGTAATGCACTTGAGGGCAAATGTGTTTCATGAGAATGATGAAGCACTTATTATATACTTTATTATTTATGAGGTATGTAAATAAATAATAAATAGTAATCAGCTGACTCCTGCAGCACACACACAAAACCATCCAAAGTCATCTGGTGACTGAGAGAAAGAGAAATAGAGGTCAGCCGCTGCCTTGAGAGCTGTGACTGTGAGGGACTGAACATCCCACGCAACCAGAATGAGGAAACCAACACTCCTGTCCTCAAAGAGTTTCATCATCCTTCACTGAGGTGAACTACGCCAGAAGCGAATCACAACGCAAATAGACTGACAAGAAAACATGCTGACGGACAGACACACAGACTGATCGGGAAGGTTTCTAGTTTCTAGTGCTGGCTTCTCTGGCATCTCTATCAAGGATCAGCTAAGGCCACGTGTAAACAAATGCACCACAGTGGTGGAAGGATGCGGATAAAGCAGGGTTAAAATGACAGCATGTGTAAATGTGGGTCCTCTGAGTTTTACATAGCAATTAGAGAGATGGAGAGACAAAGAGAAATGAGGGAGGGAGGGATTCATGTGGGTGTGTTTGTGTCTGCGTGCATCAGAGGGGTGAGCAGGTTCAACAGGTCCCATGTTGGGAGGCTGTTCAGGTGCTAAAATCCTATATCGGAGCCAGTGCTGACCGTGGGTCTATATCAAGAGCTGGATTGGGTTACAGCCCCAAGCGGCGATGGAGGATTATTCTGACAAAGACGGGTTCTGGCCAGCCTAAAATAACTGTTCCAAAATTGCTCTGACTTTCGCGCACCAGTGAAGAACAGAGGCAGGAGCGGAAAAGGCGAAGGGAGATGCACCTCGTGCCCCTGAGATTTCCTTCCTGTCAGAAAGTTAAAAGAAGTGCTTTTGAAATGGGAGAGCGTGTCAGGGGAGCCTTCTGGGAACCAGTGGAGAAAAGGAAAATGTCAGCACGCCAGGTTTTCGCAGGTCCGTGCCTCGGCCTCACATACCTGATCCTTGTGCATCAGGGCCAACTGTGACACACAAACGCATGACCCGTCGGGTATGGAGGGACGCTTTATTCGTTTATGTATTTTTTGTGGGCTCTTTAATAACAAATAAAGAGATTAACAGTAGGGGCCTGGACGCTTAGCTCAGGGAGAACACGGTAACCAACAGGCTGTCCCGAGTGTCTGGGGAGCAGCTATAAGTAAACCTGCAGCCATGCAAAGTTACTGTGAATCTTGAGTTAATTCATCAACACAAAGCTGTCAAAGCTCCGTTTCCAATTTCAGACTCCTCTTTTATATAGCCTGTAGTGTGTGTATTTATTTTTGTGTGTGTGTTTTGGGGTTTCTTGTCATGAAGGCATGTGATGTGTTCCTCTTACAGAAACAGTGGAATGTTTCCATTCATTACCTCCACTTGAAATCAATTTATTGTTCATACACCTGCAGGTAGCCCCCTTAAATCTGTCCTTGATGTATTGTTGGATTACAGGTGTTACTTAATGTTTGTTGATTAACAGTATATTTCCAATTTACAAGAAGTTATCAGATCATGTCAAGTTATGTCTACATAATGGATATTATTTGTGTGGAATAAGTTAATTCTGTATTTATATGGAGAAACTCTATACAAGACCCGATGATTTGTCTTCTCGCTGCCAAGCAACATGCAGTACAAGTACTCTACATTTTAAAAGCATTCTTATAATATTACATTATTTTGCGCAACATACATTTAGTATTCATATATTAGAACAATTTTACTTCTTGTTTCTATGCATTTCAAAAAGAATTCGGAGACACATTTTCAAATGATCCAACGGTCGAGAAGAACTGAGAGAGGGAAGTGTTTTCCCATGGGTAGACAAGGAGTTGAGGAGCCTCGCCTTGGCCTCTCCATCCCAAACAAGACTAGATTTTACTGTCAACGTATTCTGTTGGTTCTGTAAATTCTCTAAACATGTTCTTGTCCTATAATGGAATAAAATAATAACGTAGCTGACTCAAAGTCCTTTGGGTCCTTCGCTCAGCTGACATCCAAAGACACCAAAGCGTATGCATTCCTGAGAAATTAGTTTGCAGACATTGTCTAGATTTTTCAGAAACACCTTGATCTGCAGTCGTCAGCCGTATTCTTGCCTTCTACACCAAGGCATTTCAACAATGTATTCTTTAAACTGCCATGGTCGTGAAGTGTGATCAACACATGTCGCTCATATTATTTTCATATTTGTGTCAACATTTGGACTGTACACGAAGACAATTCAAGCAAATGGTCAACGTTAATACAGTGCCCTACTATTGAAAACTTAAAAAATTATAAAAATGATAATTATATGACTTACACTGTATTGTTATGTGTGACAAATCCTACTATGCTTCTTACATTCACATTGCAAATACTCATACTACAATATTAAGTTCAGCACTGCTGTCATTCAACTCAGGATTCGGTTCTAATAAAACCTTTGATTGTTCTGCCATCTAGTGGTTACATGAAGTGCTGCATTTGAGTTTGGGATGGCCCACAGATAATGTGACAAATACACTGGTACACTAAGTGTAAAATAAATGAGAGTAAACAACACAGAATATCCGATGTGTTTGAAATGTATAAATGTAAATTAAAGAAAGGTTCTATAATGCTGTTGGAGTAAAAGTATTTATTAACCGTGAAACGTTAATTTCTTATGATAGATAATTCCATTGGATATACAACTTAACTTTAAACGAGAGCACTCATATGTGAACAAACATATGAATTAAGGTGAACGTTATTGACCTATGAAAAAGTGATCTGCTAAATTATACTGTTTCCAATTCATATCTGATGTGAGTTTTGGAAATGTACTACCAGGTTTAAGTTTTGGCGGCCCCCAAACGTTCTCAAGATCTAAGTATTGTGCAATAATCACAGTGATATAATTACTTAATATATTGTTACTTAATATTTGCCACAGATATTTCATTTTAATGATCAATTGATCAATTGATCATAGAGCGATTGTGTGCTGATTGTGCGCTTAGAGGCGGCTAATAGATTGCTTTGTTATTGAAACAATGTTAGGGCCATTTAAGCTTCCTATCTGAGGCAAGACATGTGTTAAAGTAGCTTGATTGATTTAATGACTTTACTGAAGGTCAGGGCCTAAGCTACTCATGAGAAGCCGATGTTGATTTACATGCGGTATGGGTGGTGTGAACAACCTTGGTGAAGTTAACATTATAAAAAAGATATTATGAAAATGCAAGCGAAACATCATCTGTGTTGAAATGTCCAAAAATACAAATACAAATATACAGGGGATTTTTTTGGGGGGGGAGGGGGGAGTTGAAAACTGAAAAAATAGCTCCAGCTTTAATTAGGGAAAGCAGCCCGGAAAACTACATTACTCTTTAACCTTGATACAACCTTGAGGACTCAGGTCAGACGGTACTGGCTCTATTTATGTCCGTTTCTCTTTTAATACCGAAACATTGCCAGGTGGTTCCCTTCAAAGTAACAGAGCCAATGTGCTAACATCGGGGACACCTGCGGGAAATTCATTTAAATATTAAAAAAATTGATAAATGGTTACTTTTGGCTGCAGAGTGCGGTAATCAAACCGAAGGCGTCACTCGACAGTTCAATTGTATCTAACCCTGTCGAGTGACGCCTTCGGTTGCTATTTTTTCGCCCCCAGTTGTGTCTGTTAAAAACGACCGGCCGCTTCCTGCGTCGCACTTCTCCTTTAAGCGCAGAAAAAAATCCCGGCTATGACGTCAGTGGTAAAACCTGCTCCGGCTGGGTGTCTGTCCGCCTGAAAGTGAAGTGTGTTCGGCGTGCGTCGGAGTTTTACCCCCCCCTTCCCTCCCCCGTCTTTTGTTCAGTGTTGTTGTCGGCTTTTAAACTTCACTGACGAGCTTTTACGTTACTGCTTTTAAAACCCAGCCTTGTAGACGATATATGGGAGGTTTTTTTCTAAAAGTTCCTGAAGTGCTCTCCGAGGAACCGGCGGACGACGGAAACTACCAGACCAGAGATGGATAAGCTAACCGATAGCTGAGTTGCTAGCCGAGAATCACAGGTCAAGAATAGGATCAAGCTAGCATGCTAACCGCTAGCTGATTTAGCATTATATTGCCTAACCGAGCTACTTCGTCAACCTGTAACGTCCGAACTTCTCTCTGTTATTTCTCGGGCCCGACCGCTAACGTTACACCGTGGACATTTTGTCGGAGGCCAGCTAACCCAGGAAGAAGCCTCAGGTCTGCTTTTTAAAGAGGGGAAAGACACAAGTGTTGCCGAGAGCATGCTGTCCAACGCTCAGAACCAGCCACTGTTTCCCAACCCGTCGGGGCAGCAGAACCCGGGCGGGCAGCAGAACACTACAGGCCAGTTCCTCCCCTTCCACGCTCGACCCTCCTTACAGATCAAGAAGAATGCCATAACAGACGACTACAAGGTAACCAGCCAGGTGCTGGGGCTGGGCATCAACGGCAAGGTGCTGGAGATCTTCCAGAAGAAGACCGGAGACAAGTATGCGCTGAAGGTAGGTTCTAGTTGGACGCAGGGAATGTTGAGTCTGTAGAAGTGAGGCATGGCCAGGAGAAACCCAGCCCCCTCTTTTTTAAATAGAGTGAACTCTGCTGGACTTTTTGTGTGTGTGTGTGTGTGTGTGTGTGTGTGTGGATTTCAGGAAAGAAACTATAACTCCACGTTTGGGCGGTTCGTTTTATTTGTCCCACCGATGTAAATATTTGTTAGCATTTTGTAGTGACTTAAAGTTACATTTTGCATTTTTTGTTGCGCACAACAAGGAGCCTGAATCATTCGCCAGCAGTTCCTGGAAAAATTTGATTTGTTGATGTAAAATAGAAAATAACTGAGCTGTTGAGAAAATAATTTGTAGATAAAGTTTCTTTGGGGTGATTTATAGCCCTGTGAGGGTCGTTGTTCTCTCATTTTTATTATTGTAGGCCATCGCTCTACCTAGAGGTCAACCAGAGGTTTGCTGATCAGTAATTAGGTGATCTGTGATTTTAAAATACCTCAAATGATACTGGCATGTTTTAAAAGTAAAACAATGAATTCATATCAGGTACCTTCAATCTCAGCGGTGATGTGCTGCCCGACAGCACACAGCCTATCTGATACGCACTGTTTACACTGGCAAATATTGGACAGTGGTTTCAACCCTGTGATTGCTCTCTGGATTTAAACTCAGGCACTCTGCGTCCTGTAAATCAGAAAAGGCTACATCTAGAGACGGCCCATGATTGATCAATCACAAACCTCACATCAGCTAGCCACACTAGGGTGACAGAAACTCAACATAATAAAGCTATTTATTACTGCAGGCCAATTTAGTTATTTCTTATTAGAACTAATTGTAGTTTAACATTTTTCCAAAATAGGTATTGCACAAATCGAATCACAGCCTGGGAACATCCTGTGTCGTGATTTAAGCTAATATTCAGTCTAAATAAATGCATTAAACATGACACACACAGTCTCGCTGAAACCCATTTGATGTTGTCTTGTATGTTGTTTCTATGTATAATAGTATTAAACATACAAAGTCACGTTAAAGAATCCATAATTCTTCAAATTTACAGTTTTGACATTGTGTTCTATGTTTTTTTTGTTCTATCATTCCACCTGAAGGGAGCTTTTGTCATTGCCCTCCAACCATAGTTGGGTAGCGCTCACTGAATTGTAAGCGCCCCAAAATGGAATCACGCAAGCGTTTGACCCTGAGGGTCTTTCTCAGGCAAGCAGCTAGACATTCCGACACGTCTGTTGAAGACTGTCCCTCAGATGCAGTTCAATGATGGGGCTGTTTAAGGCCACATCAGAACAAGCAGTAAAAGCAGTAAATGTTTCCCTGTTAACGCCACCTAATAATACAGAGATCCATTACTGCAAGCACAATTCCTTGTTGAGATATCGTTTCCTGCTGCTTGATTACTGTTTTGAAGGGACATAACAAATTCCCCTTCCAGACATGCCATTATGAAATCCTTATCAGGGGCTTATCTGGCTGTTTGGTGTCCTGCCTCCTAAATGGTGGAATTAGTTCCCCAATGAAATCAGGACCGCAGAAGTTCATACAGCTTCCACCACAAATAAAAAACACTCCCTGCCTCAGTGACTAAATGTCACTTAAATATTGCACCTTGTAGTTCGGCTTCCTTAAAGCAATTGAGTGTTTCCCATTCCATTTATAAACGCGCAGATCAGTCCACGCACGTACAGATGAGCACACTCCCACCTGACGGTGTCCGTCCACCATATGTAATCTAACTATGGCCCTTTCACATTAAATGAACAGTATACCTTTTTTGTGGGGAAAGACTGACTTTGAATCATGTTTTTCCCGCGATATGAATGAATACATGAACACATGAGCATTCACACAAACTTTTAAGGTCACGTTTTTTTAGTAAAATGTTGAGGCCGGGCTTCCATCCTGGATTGGAGGTGGTATTGATGCTACCTGCGTAATAGGATCACTCCAGGATACCAACGTTTAAACTGCATGGACTCGCTGAAAAGAGCAGGGGTTATTATAGTGGAGCAAGTGAATGCACACGTGGTCGATGTCATGATTTTATGCTCGGAAACTATCACAGTACTCTCTAATATTAAGAATTCTAGAATCCTGTAATTGAATTAAAACAAACGTGTATAGTGTTTTTAGTGGCATTATTTCTTCAACTGACAGTAGCACTGCTAACCATTCTATGCCCAACATCTGGGAAAAGTGGTACAACTTCATATAGGAAGAAGAGTTGAGATGTCAAAAGAAATCTAGGCCTCAGACTGTTACGACTAAAGTACGTGCTAACTCGTACAAGAATTATAAAAATGATCATTCTTGATACAAACCTTGCCAAATAAGAGCAAAGCTGTGCACCAAGATATGAGTATGAGTAGATATATGTCAGTGTTTGTGAAACGCTCACTGTCAAGACGACATAATAATAGAAGTTTGTTTTAGGCACAAGCAGGAACTAGATGTTAAAGGAGTTTATAGAACCACGGTATTACGAGTTGACATGCAAGATCACAAGATCCTTCTTGAAGAGGAAGTAGTGCTTACATGCCACCCTGTATTAGACATGTTGCCTTAACTATGTGTGCTGTGTCTAGATTTATATGCGCACAAAACACCAAGTTATTGGGAATAATCAAGTTCAGGCTGCATTCGGACCTAAAGTAGCACAGAAGAAACTGAAATGCTTTCACAAAGATGTGTTCGAGCGATACATCTAGTAGCTTATGAGCAACATTTGTAAGTGGGGCGATCACTTTCTGTCCCAATGTGTGATGAATAGTAAAATGATCCAGTCCACGTTACAAGGCGTTCTACGTGAATACGCACTGCGTTAGTTTACTGGATAAAGTTGCTTGGTTTCGTGGAAAAATATGAGCGGAATTTGTGATTTAACTTTTTTTTTTTTTTTTAGGAGTGCCATTTTTCTATTTAAATTTTTAGTGCGACCCAATGTAGTTATGTCCTTGCAATGAATGAAGGGACAAATTGTTGGTTAGATGACGTTATGTTTGCTCAGAGCAGGTTAACTTATTAAATGATCTGTCTCCCATAAAGTGTTCAGCTTTCCAGAATAAGTCATCCACTAGGAGAAACTTGTAAACCAACATGTTATATATTTTCCAATTTAAGTGTATTAATTATTAACCATTGCCTGTCAAATAGTTTGAGTTGTAAATCAAGTAAATATTAATGCAAAATGTATAGCAAAAGCTGATAACATTATGATCGAAGTTTTGGTCACTCCTGTGCTCACTTGAGTTTCAAGTGAGAAGGAGTAAGCGAGAAAAGGGCCGGGTGAGAAAAATAAGGAACAAATGACGCCCTGTAAAAAGAGAGAAGTGGACAGCGAAAGTAGAGTGTTTTATTCATAATGGACGGTCTCATTTGTGTCCATACTTCCCACTGGAGCACTAAACCAGTGTGTCTCATATACTCAGAAACTATGGAAATGCCCAATGAGCACCTCCACCGGAGGAGGAGAATGGCCTTACTTAATTATCTCGATTATCTCACTAAGCAAAAAAGTGGGGGAGTGGGATATATATACATTCTATAAAAATATGTTTAGATTTAATATTTAGAATTTGCTTATACTTACAGACTTTAAGGGGGAATTTAAGCTGTTCTTTTATTTTTTATGAATTACACTTTATTTTAACATTTACAATTTTCACATTTTATTCATTTTATTTTGAAATGCAGCCCTATTTTAATTTTTTTTGTCATCGCGAGAATATTATTTTTGTGCATTTCTTTGTCAGGTGACAATAAATATTGTCGTACTGAATTAATTTGGCTGGTTAGTTGTGTATTGATTACATGCAGATTGAATCCCTCTTTATCCCTTTAATCCCTCTAAACGGTCACATTAAGATTTTCCGGACCTTTTTTTAGAAACTTTCTCTAACTGGACCTCTTTACATTTTAGTTGAATCCCCCCGTAGACGGCACGGCAGGCCGACAGTCATAGCACACATAGCATACATTAAAAATGTATACAAATATAGTTTCACTCTGTGAAATGGAGGCTATCTGGACCAATATCACCTTACAGTCCAAATGGCCTTGTTGGATCCAAAAGTCTCAGTCTTTTGGTTCCACGTTATTTCTGTAATTCCAACAGACTCGCAAAGACAGTCATGTCTCAGCCGTCAATGTGATATAGTACTTTTTTGAAACATGGATTCAATAAAGGAGAAAGTTGTTAAAGGTAAACTCAAAATACACAACTATATAAGCAGGGCTTTCATAAGCCTTGAGCTAATATCATATCGCTGTTCAGTTTTTTGGGTGAGAAAGGACTTTTTGTTTCAAATTCCTTTCCCTTAATTGAATAATTAAGCAATTTACTGTACATAAAATCCACTCAAAGTAACAGGCTGCAGGGATGTTAACGTAAACCAGGAGAACCTACCAGAAGTCTTGAAAAACAAATCGTAGTCTTGACGCCAAGTGATGCTTCATGGAGATGAACTGAACTGAAATCTCGTTAAATTCTGGCGCATGCGTCTGTCTTTACGCATCGTTGTGTCGAGGCACTCGTTTCAATGCATGGTTCTAAAAGTCTTGCGTGTGTTGCAGAGCAATTCACCTCCAGAACAACAGGTGGAGTAACGTTTTTTGTCGAAGACGACCTAGAGAGTTGTGGCGGGTCATCATAATCTCAGTGAATTCAGTGTAAAAATTTGGATTTATTGAGTGGTCTCCGTAGAGTCCTAATTGTTCATGAGGGATGCGCCTAATTATCTATTTTGGCTTTAAGTCGGCTCTCAGTGAAGCGATCTGAACGGCGGACTCTGGCGTTCAGCATCAAGTGCGTATTGTTTGTGGTTGTTGTGTCAAAACAATGAGCTCATGAGGATCTTATTTCTCCCCTCAGATTATTGTAAAAATATTTGTCACAGACAGATTAGCTGAAGGAAAAGCTCCTCTGGTAAACATGTATCTTTGTGTTGTAAGCTCCTTTAGACATAATACTATTACTGTTGTGT